GCAGAATAAGAAAATACTGGCATAATTTTTGTGGCATTAGTGCCAATATCTTAGGATATGTAAAAATTAAAAGAATGTCATGCATTTTAATTAAATGCTTAAATTTTATACACATTCTGTTTAAAAATTCTGCATTCAAGTAATATTAAGCAAGTATGAATATGTAAATGTTTTTTTCTCCAGGATGAGGATTTGAAGTGGGTGGAAGAAAATATTCCCTCTTCATTCACAGACGTGTAAGTATCCTGTTGGAACTTGAATCTACGTTTTGGCCCGGGTGTGAAGGGATGAGTTCATACTTTGTCATGTGCTTTTCAGCCTCACACCTCCATGTTTTTATAGCCCCCTTCACTGGTCAGTTACTCGTTTACTTCACATGGAATCGCCAAGAAAACGCAGCCTTGCCCTGCTCTGTCTTTCTCCTCCCTTTTTCACTGTACAACAACTATTTTAATACTTGTTCCTTATTACCAATTCCAGATCTATGTTTATAGGATCAGAATCATTTGGTTTTAACTTTTTATTATGGAGAAGTTCAAACACATGTAAACCACATATAACCACATGACCTTGTATGGTGAGGAAGCTCCTGGAGGAAAAACAGGGTGCAGAGGAAGCCCCTGGGGGAACTCTGAGCTGTTCCTGGTCTTCTTTATCGTATTCTGTTTGACACTAGAATTCCAGACATTTCCGCAGTGGTGAGCCCAGGCATTCGTCTCTGTGGCTCTGTCCGTCCAGGAGAAAAATTGATGGAGCGTAGTGTGCTCATCTTCGGCTTTCGTAGAGACACTGGTCTTTTAATAACATTTCCCCCTTTTTTTTTCCAGAGCTCTTCCGGTATTGGTAGATTCAGATGAGGTAAAATATTTTCGCTGACTTCCTTGGGGCTATTATTTTCACAAAGTAGAAATGCATTTCAGTTGAAAGTTACTTTTTAAAACGATTGCAGAGTGAGCAAGCTGAAAGGTAATGCGTTGACTTGTGGGTAAAGTTTAAAGGAACTGGATCCTCGTTGAAAGCAGGAGCAAGATAAATGCTTGTTGGAGTAAAAGAAGGGAAGAATTCTTTTATGGGATTTTAAGTCTTTGATTTTCTACATCTTGTGTATAGGTAGAGTTTAAAAGATGGCAGTTTGTCTAAATTAATCTCATACTTGAAGATACTGTGTTGGGGTGTTAAATAAAGTTTCTGACTGATTTTCATTTACTAAGGAAATTTGAATAAAGGATGCAGATTTAGGAAGGTGTTTTGTTTTGTTTTTTGCAGGGCGGCGGGTGGGGTGGGGGGATTAGTTATGGATTATCTGGACCTTGGAAGGTGGCCCAAGACAGGCAGCAGTGTGAAGTGTAAGAATGAGAGAAGGGATGTGGGACGTGAGCTTATGTGAAGAGTTGAAGGCGGTCAGTGGTGCTGAGGAGTAACTTGCGTGGTGGCTGAAGAGCGAGGGGCCCTGCAGTCTGTTCTGTTCGCTGAGAGGCAGGGCCAGTACTATGCCATCAGCCTGGTGACTCTGTCGTCGGATGGGGAGTTTAGAAAGGCTGCAGTGTACTTGTTCCCACATGCAAACCACTCAGACTTCAGGGTTTATAACTCTACCATGGAATTATTCTTAAAAGAGCATTTATAGTATTCATTTGGTAAATCATGATTTCTAATTCAAAAGTATGTTAATTGGTAAAGAGAGGGGAATTGTCCCTGCCTCTCCCTGGTGACTCTGAGCTCTCAGGATGTGTTCTAGCTGGTGGAATGTTGGTGTTCCCTGTACTTCTCAGTGGGTAACTGACTAGACATACCAGGAAGTATGGGTTATGTAGTTTTATTTTCTATACCTAATATTTCTTTGTATAATGTGGAATATACTCAGTTCTCCACAAAAGCCATGACTGTTGAAAGATTAGAGAATTTTGTTAGGTTCTGGAAGAAGTATCAACATTTTGATGAAAATCTTTTCTTTTTCCTTTTTAGGAAATTATGACCAGATCTGAAATGGCAGAAAAAATGTTCTCTTCAGAAAAGATAATGTGAAACCTATTTAACGACTCCCAGGACTAAAAGAGGTCACACAACACATATTTATGGCGTTATCTTGGAAATCTATGTATTCAAATTAAGAATTCAGTGTGTGGATGGGTTCTGTACCCTTTTTAAGCTGGCTCTTGAATGTCAGTTTAATGCCCATTAAATTGCCCTACTTGGAAATAATCTTAAAAAAGTGTTTTGATAAAACATATGCCCAAAAGCCCTAAGCTGATGAGTGGCAGATGTGTGGATTGGGTTGTCTCTTTTCTGGAAAATATAGCAGTTCCAGATTTAAGGATTATTTTTACATAGACACTCCTACTATTCTCCCACTGACCTTTGCGGCAAATAAAGTGGGTCAAACACTGCCTCCATCTCTGGGGTTTATAGTCATTAAATGCCATAGTAATTTCCTTTGACTTCTATACTGAAGTAACTTGATAATAAGGAAATGGTTAACGTTGGGACATCGGATATCTCTGTGGCTGGGAGCTGTGTGTGTGAGGGTGCGCACGTTTGCACAAGCCCTGTTTGTCATCACTGTGCACATCAAATCCTGGACGTCTTCACTCTCTGAGCTCAGTGGACACAATACATGGAGAGAGTGGTTCTGAGGGTCACTTCCAAAGATGTGCTCTGCCGCTGTCCCCTCACTGGGTGTGTGTGCATGTGC